TTAAAAATATAAGATTTGATTTTTATGGATGAAAGAGCTTGAGTAATTCGTGTTTTTATAATGAAAATAACACACAGGAGGAGTGTGGAATGTCATTTGTGTGCAATTTTTTAAACTAAGTTCTATAACTATTAGTGAATATACAGAGACTGTACATACTACATTAGTAATGAGCACTGTTAAAGCCTTACACTGTATGCTTTATGACTATACAAAATTTGCAATTTCATTTTGTACTAAATTATACTACAATTAGGGTAGTGGCTTGTTTGAGAACTAACTTTTCTTCAGATATTTCCATACTCTGGTACTTATTCTTAAATGCTAGTTTTTAGGCATGACAAATTCATCGGTCAGACAACTGAGAAAACTAATAGGCAGGTCACTTAAGGACTTACAGTGTTTTAGTTGAGATTATCTACATTTTATATCATCCCTATTTATTTCTATAGGAAAAAAACATACAAATATTTTCTTTCCTTTTTTTCTACATCAGCAGAATTTACTCTTGCTATATTAGGTAAGGAAAAGATTTCAAGGCTCTATTACCAGCTGTCAACTATTAGTAGAAAACAGTTTGACTTGAATCTATATACATAATTTTTGCAAGCACTGAAGACATTTCTACATTTACAAGTTATGTATTCTATCTCATTATCCTTTAATATTCACATAAAATTCTTTCTGAACATAGTTCCATAGAAATATATAATAAAGCAATGTCCATAAGTTCCACAGATGTCAGCATTTTACAAAATTATAAAACAATATAGCATTCAGCATATTAACATTGATAAATTCCAATGTTCTTAAATACATTATCTTCTACTCCTTTGTAAAAGAATGTGCAGTGGTGTGTGTGCACTAAGTTATTTACAGGTTGGTCAGTCACATGGATTCAAATACCAACAAAATGACTAATGAATGCCACATCATCAAGATTCACCTTTTCCGCTATGTATCCATGTCCACAGCTTCAGGAACAACTCCTGTTGGGTTATTAATGACTAGAACCCACTACTCCATCCTCCATTTTTAATGTCTTGTCAACAGTTTTTTAAGTGGAGTTGTACAGTTCATGACCTACTTCAGTTTTTTTTTAACTCAGTCTAAATCCCTGGAGCATATATACACAGGTGGAGGATGAGTTTTACTTTTGTTAGTTTCTACTGCATAATGATAATCCATAAAACATATGTACCACAATTTGTTTGACAATCCCTCTAATGAATGATATCTGGCTCAATCCAGCTTTTGTAATTACTACTAAAGATGCTACAAATATCAGGATTAGTTGTTTGCTGTGTCAATGTTTTTAGTTCTTTGAATAATTTCCCCAAAATTACATCACTCTTATGTGAATTATTTAGTTTTATAAGAAGGCGTGCAATGTTTGTGTTTTCCAAAGTGGCAGTATCATTGTACATTCCCACAAACCATTAGACTGTTTCTTAACACATTAATTGGCACTTGGTGTTTTTACTGTATTTATTCATTTTTATACACATATAACCAGCTTGGATAGGATATTAATAATATTTAGCTGTGGTTTTAATTTAACTTCTTAATAGCTATTGATGTTCATTCTTTGCATGCTTATTATCCTACTGTCCTAGTTTGTTCTTCATTGCTGTGACAAAATACTTTGACCACTACCACCGTGGGGAGAAAAGGGTTTATTTAGCTTACATATCCCAGGTCACAGTTCATCCGGGAGCCCAAGGTAGGAACTCAGGGCAGGAACCTGGAGTCAGGAGCTGGAGCACAGGCCATGGAGGAATGCTGCTTACAGGCTTGTTCCCCTGGCCCCTGCTCAGCTTGCTCTCTTATCCAACACAGGCCCACCTGCCCAGGGGTGGCACTACCCACAGTGGGCTGGACCCTCCCACATCACTCAACAATCAAGAAAATACCCCACAGTCATGGCCACAGACCAATCCAATGGAGGCAATTCCCCAATTGAGGCTACCTCAACCCAGGTGTGTCAGGTTGACACTAAAGCTATCCAGCATACCTACCATACTGTTTTAAAATTTCCCAAAGACTCTTATGAAATCAGATGACATCAGGCTATCAAAAGTTAAAACTTTGTTCAAATTTCTTTATTGACAAAGTTAGTTGATACTCATAACTGAAAGAAAAAAATCACAAATGGTCAACTAAGTTATCAAAGGCCATCATAACCTGGATCTAATGGTTTTGTTTTAACTTTAATGTTTCTATTTTATACACTGTTCTTAAACTTAGGTGTCCCAGGCTGGCCTCCTAGTCATGATTCTTCTACTTCTATCTCATACCAAATGTTAGGTATTATTTACCTAAATCAGCAAAAAATTCTAGAAAATACATGTAATGGAGTTAAAAGAACAGTATAGGGAGTAACATGACATAAAAATTTAATTTCTCAAAATATGCTAACTTAAATTTTCCAATAATTATGAAAATGTAGGATTATTGAAGAATAGAAAATGAACCAATAAGATTATTAATTTTCATAATTGGTATTTTTAAATACATTGTGTTACATTGATTTAAATTTTTCTATCAAGTTTTGGCCAAGTATTTCACACTTAGTCTTTCAAAGTACATCATTAATCACCTATTATTTAATAAATGTATGTAATACAGTGTGAAAGTAGACTAAAAAATGCATATCTTTAAAAGTGTGTGATTAGATGGATTAAAATGACTTTTCATATGGGAAATCTTTTCTACAGTAAAAGAATAAGCAGCTATTTAAGTACAAGGTGCAACATATATTCTGTTTTTATCTTAATATCTGAATGACAGTATTTTATATTCTCAGGGAGAAAAATAAACAGATATTTCAAATTTGGATGATCTATGTCCTACTTGAGATAATTCACAAATTAATCCATGCGTGTGAAAGAGAAAAACAATTAAAATTCATGAAAAGCAGTAGAGAAAATATTATTTTTATATATGGAGGGATATGTATGTTCTCATGTGTCACACTTCAATCTGTGGATGTTCATGCACCTATACGGGTGTGTGCATGTGCGTGGAGAGCAGAGTTTAAGGTCAGGTGTCTTGCTTAGCTGACAGCCACCTTTTTCTAATATAGAGATTCTCACGGGACCTGAAACCTTCTGATTGGCTAGACTAGCTGGCACCAAGCCTCAGAGATTCTCCTCTCTCATTGCCTCCAGTGCTGGGAATACAGAGAGAAGCATTGTATCTGGCTTTACACACGTTCTGGCGTTCAAAGTCACGTTCTCATGTACTTTACCACCTGTTCCATCTCCCCACGCCAAAAGTTGCATGTTTCTAAGAACAGTAAGCAAGAATGTGTTCTTTAAATCCTTCTCTACAGCTCCTTGGTTTAATTATAGGAAAAGTCTGAATACTGAAACTGTTAGAAAAAAATTATGGAAATATCTTGATTTGACATTATTTACAAACTGCTCCCATAAATGTACTAACATTTTTATAAATTTATGGAATTCTCATAATTATTTAGATAATGAGATGTTATGCCATATTTAAATGCATTATTCTAACATATTTTTAAATTAGCTCTTGGTGATTATCAAAAATGCATTCTACAGTACGAAGCTAGTCTCAAACTTACGTATTCCAGGCTGGCCTCCCATTCATGACTCTACTACTTCTACCTCATACCCAGTGATAAACTTATTTATAGGCATCCCAAATTTCATACATTTGTCAGCTGAATGTTTTCTTGCTTAGAACTAAATGTTATCTTTCCCTCTTCCTTTGAAACCATGTATGTGAGAGTTGTGGAACTGACACACTGAGACTAGAAATGTTGACAGGGTCTGAAGAGAAGCCTAACATGCTAGACTGGAAATTTGGAGAATATTTTTCCTTAAGTAGTAGACTCCAGTAGATTTTTGATTAAGGAAATATTGTCAAAGTAATATTTGGGGTTATTTAAATTCATAAAAGAATGATGGAATACTCTTTACTATATGAACAATATTCAATAATTTAATAAATCTATATGAAAATTGGGTGAAAAAAAGACTGTGGAATGAGAGAAACACAAAAACATTTGGTAATTTATGTGCAAGGGGATATCCTGGAAGATTCAGCAATATTAACTAGAAATCACAGAGAGATGGAATCATTTGTTTTGATGGCTTGATTTATGGTGTGCTTAGCTATTGTGATTTTTCCATTCCTTTGACCACAGAAATGGTATGTAGACATCAATTTTAAATGTATTTATTTTCATATGAAAATAAAATCTATATAAATGGAAATTATTATTGATAAAACTAAGAATGTTAATTTGGAAAGAAAAGAATATTGGAATATAAACTGACTTTTCACTTAATGCTTTTACCTGATGTTATAAGCAGAGAAATATTAATAAGACAGATGTAAGAAGAAGGAAATAAAAATATAGAGATAAGGTAAGAGTGGGGGTAGGAGGAGAGAGAGAGGAAAGGAAGAGAGAAAAATGAGAAGGCCCACAGAATTCATCAAGTTCACTCACACTCAGAAGATTAGTAGAGATATCATGAATTCAATAGAACATCACCGTGCTTTGGTGCACAGGCATCAAGAAGAAAATAGTTTCAATATTAAAATGTGTGTTTAAAATGGACAAATTCATTATCATAATGCCATATTGTAAATGGTGCACTCATTGAAGTCACAAATATCAAGCATAGACCTCAAAGGCAGAATAAACGTTTCAGAGAGAATTTCCCAATATTCATTTTCGGAAGATGAGGCTTATTCCATAGAACTGAGTCAAGATGCCAATAAATTGGAAAAATAAGAACAGTAAATAAAAGGAAAGTAAATAAATAGGAAAAAGATCCCTATTTAAGAATATCAACAGTTGAAGAACTATGTTATTTCATACTTTTAAATGATTCATTTATGTATATTAATGTATGCAATGCATCAAGTGCAGCACCATGAAAGACAGAAAAGGGCATAGGACCCTGGAATTGGAGTTACACATGATAGTGAGCTGCCATGTGGGTCCAAGGAACTGAACCTAGGTCCTCTGCAAGAACAGCAAGTGCTACTAACCACTGAGCCATCCCCTGAGGAGATATCCTCTCAAGCCTGAAAATAACAACAAAGTAGCCCACACAGGAATAAAACTCTCCCATAGAGGGAATTTTGAAGAAGCAAAATATTTTAGGAGAAAGCAATGGGTTTAACAATGGAGTTAGATAGATAAAGCAAAGGGAGGCTAATTCATTACGGCGGACACAAAGTGTGAAAAGACTACTCTTTTATATAAGAAGATTGCTACTTTTGAAATGCAAGAAGGGGAATGGATTCATGTACCAAAGAAACAAGTATGATTCAATCCAGGGATATATTGTTTGAAAATTAAAGAGAGAATAAAAGGAATTTAAGTAGGAATGAACCTACCTAAAATAATAATGAACCCATGCAATACTTAACCAAGATTTTTTTAAAAAAAATATGAATTTGCTATTTGAAAATGTCATGCAAATATATAATGAATTTTGATTAAATCTCTCTCACACCCCCTACCTTCCAACCTCTCTCATACTCCCCACCCCCAGCTTCTCACTGCTAAACACATGTACTCTGTTTATCTCACTGAGACCAGTATGTGCAAGAGTGTAGGGTCATCCATGTGAGCTAAGTTATTTTTGAAAGAAAGAGAGAGAAAAAAAGAAAAAAATGAATGAATGAATGAATGAATGAATGGATGTATGAAGAAAATCAATGTGACACATAATCTGAGTTTAAAGATATGTAAATCAATACCTGAGTGGTTTTAATGGTGATAGAGAAATTCTTTTTTCCTACCACCTCCTTGAAACTGCACACCAATTGCTAACTTCTTTATCACAGACCTCAGCATCAGAGTCTAAGTAAAGTCTAGTTAAATAACCTTAGAATTGGCCCAGTGACATTAATCATTGGATAAAGGGGTTTCCTACCAATCCTACCCCTTAAATTCAATCTCTAGGACCCTCATTGTAGAATCAGAGACCAGATTCCTACAAATTGTCCTGTAATCTCCACACATACACCATGGTATAGACATGCACATACATAATAAATAACAAATAAACATAATTTTTAAAGAACCTTTGAATTGTGGTTGTTAGCCAAGAAAAGCAGAGAACACAGACCAGTAAACTATAATTAAAGAATTTTACCCATATGATTTGTATCTCTAATTATGATTTTAATCTAATCAATTGTTGATAATAATGGATTCTAAAACAGTGCTCTCACCCGGCTAAGTAGATCAGAGCAAGGATTGGTCATAAATGAGCCCATATGATGTAGAAACAAAGACTTTAAGACAATGCAGAGAAGGAAGTATGAACCACAGGCTTTTGGTAAACCAACAGCTGGGAAACACAAACAGAAAATGTATTTATTATTATCTTTGACGACTCCAAATTTGACATCAGGAAACCGTACAAGTGCTGCTCTGAAGTTACTTAAAGGTTATGTCATTTATGGAGACGTGATGTTACATCATAGTGATACTGAATAAGACAGTCTCACTCTTAGCATCTATTGAAATCAGTAAAGAAGGCCCTAACTGTTCTGAGAAACTGTTTCTTCAGTTTTCTTCTGGAACTGTGAACTCAAACCAAGGCCTTTTTCTCTCTTTATTGAAACAATATATCCAGCATGAAAAGGGAAAGGAGATAGTGGGAGAGTTTATCTTCAGGAATTTAACCTTTCTGAACCCTACTGACCAAGAACAGCATTCACAAGCACAAACAGTTATCATACGTTTAATCTTCCCTGTTGTTTGCAACACAAATGGGATAACTCTTGTTGAGTCCAATGAATATCCACTGATGGTAGTGCTTGCTATTGTCACAACACAAACACACACACACACACACACACACACACATGCACACACACACACGTATATAGCATTGTTTTGATAGCATATTTTGGGTCAAGAGCAAAGAAGACTCTTGAGGGATTAAGGCTAAATGTTTAGGTTACAGGAGGAGCCTAAGGCCTAGTACGCTTGCTTACATTATTAATAAACTGAGAAAGAGTTAAATGATCTCACAACATAAGATTAACTTTTTGGTTATAATGTTAGGTAAAAGTCCAGAAATCACAGTCATTGACCAAGAAGCATGCTAGATATCCTCAAATCTGAGGGATTCTCTCAATTTGAGAGACTCTCAAAACCTATGAAGTTTATTTAGCTTTATATGTTTCTTACATATAATTAGTTACCATCACAAAAGAAAAATCAGTTTGCTTATATAGAGACAACTACATAATCACTTTTATATTGATCTTACAGAAATTGTGTTGCTAATATTATAGAATGTTTTCTCTAAATTCATGCCTTTAGAAAAGTTTTGCAATTGTGTCTAACCATGTCTTCTTAAAGTTTGAAATTTAAACATTGATAATTTTCAAACAGTGTATATATCCTATATGGAAAGTTAATAAATTACATTCAGAATGTTGGCATTACATTTAACTTGCATGAGGAAAAAGTCACATCATTTTAAACATTATGCCTATGAGAAGAAATTCTACAGGTAATATTTGTTTTCTTTTTTTTCCTAGAGAACAACAGCATCCAAATGCTAAGCATGTCAAATCTTGCTTACATAACACTGTCCTATATCTGTTAATGTGATTGAAGTCACTAAAGATATTCTATTTTATCTTGCAAACCTTAGGAATGCCACACTGTATAAACTATATATATGTATCAAAATAATCACTGGTTATAATGCATTTTTAATGTGTAGGGTAAATATTTTCACCTAAATATTTATTCGGAGAGCACATATTAGGAAGAAACCATAGCCACACATCGGTATATTGCTTAAACTGTAAGTAGGTTACCCAGTTAAGCAATTCTTATTTTGAATGCATGTGTCCCTTTAACCACAAGTTCTGTTTTCTGTGTTTCCTATCAGCAGTTGCAGCTTCCAGTGATCAAAGCCAGATTCCCATCATTGCAGTGTCGGTGACAGTGGGAGTCATTTTGCTTGCTGTGGTTATTGGCTTCCTCCTCAGCGGCAGGTAAGAAAAGAAATTCTGAAGGTTTGCAGCTAATTCACCTCCCTTGCCTTGATTCAACCATATGACTGTTAAAGCACATCTAACAACAAATCAGGCAAGCAACATGTAAGTAAATAATACCTATGTGTGCTATAGTTCTTAAGTTTTATTTTTCCCACATTACTGGCAATGATTATGAACGTGATTTCTTCTTTTAAGTCATGGTCTGTATGCTTCGCAAGAATAGTATTAACATGATATTTCTTATTCTGGAATTAATCTAAACATAAGGTATATTTCTTCACTGTATACAATGAATTTCTAATTCTGCTTATTTTCCCTCTGAAAAGAATGTATCATTGCCTGATTTAGTGTCAGTCACTATTTAGGAAGTCAATAAGTCTTATTTATAGTCATTTGAGGATTAAAACTGATATTTCTATAAGCAATGAAACATTTCAGGAAATTAATAAAACTCTTCATTTACTGCTTTCGCTTTCAATTTCTGGGTGATTCAACATGGATGCACCAATTGTCATGTGTGCTTACTGAAAGTGAATTGCACTGACAGCTAAATCAATAGATATGTGATTCGATGTACTGCAAATTTACAGTTTTCAGTTTGAACATAAGAGATAGAGCTACTGAAGAAGTTTTGTCCAGGTATCTTATGACAGTGAGCTGAGCATAATAAACTTCCTAATAGTAAATATGAATGAATAAATAATAAGTTGTATTCTTATTGAAAATATATTTTCCTATTTCCTTATTTTGTAATTCCTGAAATTGTTAGTAATATTGAGTAATGAGGGCTTCCAGTTTTAGAATTTATTGTGGTGTTCTTATTAGGCCATTGTGTAAAATGAGATGAAATGCTTTTCATGGAAGTATTTGAGCCTGGACAGAGTGAATATATATAATTAAAGGGACAAAAATATCAGAAAATCAATATATCTTCAGTTTTCTGAGGAACATATGTTGTAATCTATTACCTAACATTAATGTTAGAGTAGTAGTTATGAATTTTTAAAATTTCTAGCTGGGAGAGTTCATATTCCGGTTAGTGGCATTTAACTTAAGCCACTCAGAATATGTACTCTCACCTGCCTCACTTCTCTCTTCTTTTGGAACTGACCTGGGAATAATGTGAATCAATGCCCCTAATGTCTGAGAGGTAATCTGACTTTGTCAGTCCTTTCCTAAAAAACTTTGCAATTTGAAATGGTAGCTGAATAACCCAAAAATATCCGAGATTTAAAGATTTTATAAGCAATATTCCATGAAAATTTCACATTTTTTTATTTTTGAAAATATTTTCTCTATTTTTATTTTATTTGTATGAATGTTGTTGCTTGCATGTGTGTAAGTGAACCTGTGATGTGTAATGCCTTCAGATTTCAGAAGAGGACCTTGGACATCCTGAAGATGGTGTTGCAAATGGTTGTTAGCCACCATGTGGGTGCTGGGAATTGAACCCCAGACCTCTGCAAGATCACCCAGTGCTCTTAATTGCCGAGTCGTCTCTCCAGCCTCCGTTTTTTAGTTTTAAGGGGTATTTGTCTATTGATAGAAATTTCTTCAGCTTTTTCTTCTATTCTGCATGGAAAATTATTTTGTGCTTGTGTACATCTGCTTAATCAAATCTAAGTGATAGGACCTTTAAAAACTACTTTTATATCATTTAATACTTGAACATTGTGATTTTTTCTCTGTACTTCTACATGCCCATCCTGTAATACCTGGATTTTCCTGAATTAACTCAAGATTTGTAAAAAAGTGAAACAAATAAATGTGGCTAACACATTTTTAGAGTCCAAACAAAATTTGAGAAACAATATTAGCGCTTTAGTAAATTGTTAAATACTGCCTGTTTTTGGAATGCTAAAGTATGTTGAATTACATATATGTTTCTTTATTCCTACAATAGAATTTCAAGATTATCTCCTCACTTTTGAAATAATTCCTTTGTTCAAATTTTAAAATATTTTACTATTATTTTAATTTTATGTGTATGAGTGTATTGCCTGCATGTATGCAAGTGCACCCGTGTCATGTAATGACTTTAGAAATCAAAGTGTCAGATTCCTCTGGAACGAGAGCTATAGAGAGCTGTTAGTCACCATTAGGTGCTGGAAATTGAACCCAGGGCCTCTGCAAGAGCAGCCAGTGCTCTTAATCACTGAGCTACCTCTACAGTCCCTCTTTTTTCATTTTTAGATTTCTGGTAAATGATATTTTAACCAGGAAACCTAGGAACGCTCTTTATTAATTGAAGTTAATTTGACTTCTTAATGGTGCAATTCAAATATTTTAATTTTATTTTCTTATATGGAAAAAATAATATATACTGTGTGCAAAATTTTATGATAATTTAGATCTATATGTGAGGCCAAGAGAAAAATATACTCTAAACTATGATAAATTTTTGTTGTTATTGTTGCTTTTGTTGTTGTTTTTGAGACAAGGTCTTCCTATAGATCCAGCTGTTTTAGAACTCCTGATGTAGACAAGGCTAGCCTCAGTCTCAGAGCTCCAACTGCCTCTGCCTCTAGATTGAAAGCATGCATCACCATGACTGGTAACAATTTGTGTTCTTATTCATATTGCAGGATAATATAAAAATTGAGGTTATGTTATGCTTAAAATTATAGAGCTAAACTATTGAAAAGAATATATCAAACTTTTTATTCTGATATGCATTCAGAGATGAAAAACAATTCAGACATGTAGATTCGTAATCCTTAACTTTCTGATGGTTGTGTATAAATACCACCTATTTAAATGCCATTCTAGATAATATGGAATTTATTAAGCTTTTCTTGGTTATCTTTTTTGACACAGGCTCTCCCTGTAGCCCCAGCTAAACTGGAACTCCCTATGGAAAACAGACTGGCCTCAATCTCACAGAGATTACCCTGCCTCTGACTCCTAAAGGCTGGAATTAAAGGTGTGGGCCACCATTCTGGCATAGGAATTGCATTAGTCTTTTTTTATTATAAAATAAATATTTAATAAAAAAGTAAACATTTCCACTAAATAAGTGAGGCATGGATTCTGTCAATTGCCAGAAGAAATGATCAAATGAACTCTTTAGCACTGCAGTGTTTATAGAACATAAAACAACCCCATGAACCAGAATGATGATAACAACTGCAAAAGAGGCTCTTTTCCCATTACTTGGAAATATTAATATATGTATTTAAGAATGTATTCTTTTTGTTAATTATTATTTTCTAGTCAATACATGAATATTTACCAGGAATATATAAACATTAATTTAATCTTAAAGAACAAAGTATTTTATTATTACAGAAAAGATAATTGCCTCTTTAAAATATATTTACATTTCCATAGGACTTTCTCTTTAAGACTCAAATTTTTTACTATATTCTTCTCATTAATTTTTCAGTGCACTCATGGTAATACAAAAAAAATCAACAGAAATGCAAAGAAAACTGTAATTGTTTTTAATCTTTCTCTTTTATCTCCAAAAATACTGAACATTGACAACATCTTTAAGTAAGGATTTGTAGCTTGTTCCCCTATTATATTAATTTTGGAGACATAGTTATTGAATCAGTCAGTTTACTGGGATCTTCTTTAACACAGACCTCTCATTAAGTATATGAGAGAGCCTTTCAGTGTGATTCTTTCCTTTCTTTTTTTTTTCAATCAATTTAATATTTTATTTCTTATGTTTCCACTTTCTGGGGGGGGTTAAATTTTGAAAATTGATTATTCCACATTTCTTACTGTAATATGAAGTTTAAATTAATATATAATTGGACACGAAAAAAGTAAATATGCTAGTGTACAGACGGGATAATTCTGTGTGAATCTTTTTAAATGCAAATTTCCTAGGCTTAAATAACTTTTTTCCCAGTTAATTATTTATTTAATAACCACATACTTAGAAGAAGCATTTCATTACAACAGCACTGACATATTCAATAACAATTTCCAGAACAAGAGTACATCTCTTTCATAGTGGGAGCAAGTTTCCAGGTTCACAGTTGAGTTAATACAGTTATACAATATTGAACTCAGTATAAGCCCTATAAGACATAAAATTGAATGAGTTTTTAACCTT